GGGGGGGGCTCTCAGAGGCCTGGAGCCAACCTGACAGGTCCTTTTGCTATGGCACAGGCATGTTCCTCTCTGGTCCTCCCCTCTGGGAAGGCAGCCTCTTTCCTCCAGCACCCAGGTGATGACCAGCTAGTCTCTCAAGGGCCCAACACACCTTGTCATGACAAGATCGGGACAGAAAACACCTCCTCCGTGGAGGAGAGCCACCTCCAGAGAGTGTCAGGGGAACCAGGAGGCTCACCCAAGATCTACAGCGCACCAGGCGAGAGTGAAACCCCCAAAGTGGCCACCCAAGGTCCACTTTACCCCAAGGCAGTGGGTACAGGACTACTCAGAAACTTCAGCTCCTGCTCATACAGAAACCAGCCCTATGTAAGGATTAAAAATAAATAAATAAACCCACAAGAAATAAATAAAAAAAAAAAAGGCAAGTCCCTGAGCTCTGACCCCACTAGATGTCTCTGTCGGCCAAGGCACAAGGGCTCCTGAAGCCTCACCAAGAAGGTCCAGGGAAGCGGCGAAGGGGCAGGTCTGCAGGCTGCAAGCCCCAGACCCCTCTCCCGAAGGCCAAAGGGGAGGGAGCCAAGAGGAGAAAGAATGAACGAGTGGGCAGGGAAGGGAAACAAGTGTAGGCAGCGCTGGATGGAGCCAGGCAGCTCGGAGCAGCTGGCCTTGCCTGCAAGGTGCCTGGGTGAGATACTTTGGGGGAAAAGCAGCTCTGAATCAGCCTGGAAAATCCCATCCCTCAGGTTAAAGGTCTAAGTCTAAGAGTTCACTGATGGCCAGCAGCCCACTTGATACTTTTTCCCCTCCTCAGTTCACCAGCAGTTCCTAAGTTCTTCCTGCTCAGCCTCAGCACTCAGAGGTGTCAGAGGAAACAGCCCTCTGCTCGTTCCGTGTTAAAAGAAACCAGTTGTCAGGCCCCAAACGCTGCGTTCCCTTTTGATGTGGTGCATTGCTGGTACCGTGGGACTTGGGCAACATAAACCCAGCCCCGGTTTGTTACTTAGAGCTGGTTGGGGTGAAACACTGCGGAATTGGGGATGGGGAATTTAACAGTCCCACCGAGAAGTGGCACTACAAGGGGTTTGTATAATCCAGCAGCAGCTCGGAGGTGGAGCAGAGTCAGGCTTGTCCCCGGGCACACAAAATATAAGAGGGTCTGACATTTGTGTCTCATTGCACTGGTCGTCTTAGAAACTGTGAGAAAAGTAAAGAGATCGGGGAACCTGATGTAATCGTTGGGGGCAACCTCTCACCCCAGGAAGCCAACACAAACAACGGGGTCAGGGAACAGGGAGCCGAGAGGATTTCATGCTGCTGGGAGCTATGGGGATACCTGTGGCGGACAGCGGGGGGGAAGAAAGGCTGCACCCCCTGAAAGTGAACCCAGGCAGGAGGTCAGCACCCCGAGCGGCCGGTCCCAAAGGGGAACGGATGACTTGCAGGAGGCAAACCACCAGGAAAGCATGCCAGGTCTCCGGGAGGAATTACAGCTGATGAATCAAAGGAAAACATCCCACACAATTGTTTGGAAAGCCTTCTCACACAGCCCGGCCAGGGCAGGCCAGCTGCTCCCAGGGATGTGCAGAGCAAGAGGACCCAGCAAGGGGTCTGCCTCTGTGCCCCAAGCTACAGAATCCCAGAATCATCCACGCTGAAAAAGCCCTTGAAGCTCCTCCAGCCCAACCATGACCCTCACCCTGACCGTTCCCAACTCCACCAGATCCCTCAGCGCTGGCTCAGTCCGACTCTCCAACCCCTCCAGGGATCCCGGGGACTCCCCCCTGCCCTGGGCAGCCCATTCCAACGCCCAACAGCCCCTTCTGCACAGAAATCCTTCCTCAGAGCCAGCCTGACCCTGCCCTGGGCAGCTTGAGGCCATTCCCTCGGGGCCTGGCGCTGGCTCCTTGGCTCCAGAGACTCATCCCCCCTCTCTGCCCCCTCCTGGCAGGGAGTTGCAGAGGGCCAGGAGGTCTCCCCTCAGCCTCCTCTTCTCCAGACTGAACCCCTCCAGTTCCCCCAGCCGCTCCCCAGCAGACCTGTGCTCCAGACCCTGCCCCAGCTCCGTTGCCCTTCTCTGGACACGCTCGAGTCATTCAATGGCCTTTTTGGGGTGAGGTTTTGCCCAAAACTGAACACAGTAATCCTTGTGCTCGCAAAGACCAGCCCCACTGCCATACTGGATTGTGTCCTTCTTTACACCCGGTGCTTGCTCACTCCTACAACTGAGCACAGAAAGGTTTAGGGGTGACCTCGCTTCCTTCTTTGCCCAGTATGTGCACAGCAAACCCAAAGGGGATGGGGAACCTGCACATTGCCCAGGTAGAGCTGAAATGGGGGGAAATCTCTACAGACCTTTTATTTGTCTTTATCTGGGAGACAACAGCCTTTCACACACAAACACACATGCCTGCCTACCAGTAAGCACTACCACGTGCCCTAACACTAGCCTGTCCCCACTACTTACGAGCTTTGCAGAAAGCATTCAGATCAAAAAGCAGCTGTGCAGCATCCAACATCCCTCACAAACTAGTAGGCTCAGGTTCTCCCCTCCTTCCTCAAAGCCATTTTAGGGCTTGCAAGCAAGAAAGCAGCAAGTTATCTTTGGCCTTCAAATCACCACTTGTGTTATTGCTTTGCCATCACATCTGTGCCAGCAGGGAGAATCACTTCACATGCCACTGTCTGTCTGCTGATTTGTTTCCCACACGTATTCCCCAGCTTGCTGATGGGGAGATGAGCAGGGGAAAAAAAAAGAAAAAAAAAAAATTAAATCCAGCACAGCAGCCAAGATTGTAAGCGGATTGTCTCCATAACATCCTTCAACAACAATGATCTCAATCCACTAGGCAGGCCTTCTACCTCACAGTTACTTAAACTCTTATCTTATCATGGCTGAAGGCTCACTAAGTGCCAAATGCCTCGGCCCCA